TCAGCTTTTTTTAACGTTTTCGTTGAATGAACGGTTTAATGACTCACTCAAAGACAGTCTGTTGGCATAACAATGTAACTGCGCGCTGAGTGACAGTCTTTCAATGCGCAGAGACGCTGTTTAGTTTCGGTTACATTGGTTACATTGTTTTTGTGTATGCTGACCACATCATAACACGTATTTATAGCAACAAATAAATATAAATAAATAAATGGCGGTAATACCGCATATCGCGCTATTGAGCCACTCAAAATTACCGCAAGGGAAATTCCTTCACCGCGACAGCCCTACGAACAACTTCAAACAAGACTATTATTAAGAGTGACATTTTTAAGGGATAGTAATGTATAGTTTCATTGTACACTTGTTACACCGATTTTATTTTTACCACATAATTACGGGGACATATTGAATTGAGATTAATGTTTTAAATCTTACCCGTTTATAAATCCATTTTGTACAGCGTACAAAACAATCGTCCAGACAAGATGATCACAACAATATTATCAAACTCTGTAAACAATAAATCAACTCCGATAAAACGGGGAGACGCAAGGCGGCAAGTTGTATTTGAATGAAACGAGCGCGCGTCCGTTGTGATACATGGATGTGCGCCGTGTAATAATGCGTTGCTATTGACCACGGTCATTATAAAGAAGGAAATGCCACAGAATAGAATCTTGCTTAAAAAACTGCATAGAGCTGCTTGTTTTATTTGTTGTTTGTTGATTTTCAAATATCAAACTTGTTGAAATGTTTTCAGTGTGAGCATCAGTTCTTTTTGAACATTTTCATCTCATTTTAACAAAACCGTGATAATATTGATAATCACGATAATTTTGGACACTATAATCGTGATATGAAATTTTCATACCGTCCCATCCCTACAATACAGGCACCCCCCCATCACGAGTGGACACGCCCCTTAATGCTGATTGGCTACAAATGTTTTGGTGCTCTGTCCGATCCACTTTCAACCGCGTTTCTCAGAAGTTGCTTACTGCACCTTTAATACATTTTAATGTTACATTTTCGTTTATACTTAATACATTGTGAATCCAATTTTTTAAAAAAAAATTATTTAACAGGTCTCAAAAACACAAGCAGCTAACATGCTCAACTCCACTATAACTAAGAGTTCAGCTCTAAACATGACTGTAGATATTGAGGTAAATGCCTTTCCTTTCCTGAGTTACGTACTACTAATAAATATTTTTACTAAAGCTATATTGTTCCATTTCCACAGAACTCTGGCATGAAAACTCCAGTTGGCAAAGGAGCCGCTCAAAATAAGACCATAGATCACGGAGCTGGACTCAACGTGACCGTGGACATTGAGGTGAGGTCAAGGCAACTGTGATGCATCTTTTCCCTGCTAAAGGAGGGAACGTGTCAGATAATATTAGTAAGCACAGAATATTTCCCAGAGAAGGAAAAAAGATGAAGACTTAACCTAAATTAAACTCAACCTTAATTTTTTTTGAGTTCTAGTTTGGTTTTGGGTTTCGAGGGTTGTTTTTTGTGTGTAAAAGCATTTAAAGCAATCTCAGGTGACTAGAACAGCTGGTTTCTGACCCCATCCCTTGTTTTATACCTTGCAGCAATCTCCACAGTCCTACCAGATCACTCCTAAGGGCCAGAAGGTGACCGTTTTAGTGAATCCAGAAGATTACGGCATGGACCAGAACAGCGATGACTCAACAGATGATGAATCTGCACCCAGAAAACCCATCCCGTCCTGGGCTGAGGGTATGATGCTTTTTTGGCAAATGCTGGAAATGTTTATTTGTAGTTAATTTTCCATCTGTGCACTCAGTGTGACTTTTCACAGTTATAAGTAAAGTGATAATCTATGGGAAGATTTGGATGTATTGGAGATAAAGAAACACCCGTCGTGAAGCGAAGTGCATTCAAATGGTTTAATGCACAGCTAGTCGTGGATTATCCCACTTATACCATGGTCATTTGCCAGCATTGACAAGTAAAAACTGTTATTGATGTTTGCAGGGAAATATTTGACCGGAAAGGGTAAAAATAATGGTTATTTTTGACAATTACAGCTCGTTAGATCTTGCATTCTGCCCGCTTTGAATCAGACACAGAGATAAAGTAGTGTGTAAGATTACATTTATTTTAATTAATCAATTATAGCATTAATTTAAATTATCGCGAGAGATGGAAATGACCTGTGTCTGAGCCAAGGTTATTTTTGTAAACTGAAATAAAATAGAAAATTCAACATAAATTAAACTAACAACAGTTACTGAAAAATGAAATAAAATAATTAGCGAAAATAAATTGTTGTTTTCGTAAATGATAACCTTTCATTCTGTACTGGAAATACACATTTTTCTATTCAACTACGCTAATTTATTTTTCAATGTAGGACCGTTGCACTTGAGTCTTGCGTCTTTTAAAAAGATGCGTCTCAAGACCTTGTGCTTTTGACACGAAAAAGCGCAAGCTTTTCAAAGCAAAAACCACTTTCTATCATGTCTAGACCTTATGCAAATACAGTTGTACCTTAATTCGAAGTAAGATAACCATCTCATGTGAAACTAAACAAGAATCCACCCATATTAGACAAGATATAGCACACTGAGCCGAAATGGAAGTTTTTGAATAGGTCTAACACTACTAGCCTATTCATATACAGATACTCAATAAAGTAATCAAATGGAAAATAACACTGGGTAGTATTTTAGTCCTGAATAAATTAAATACATAGGCTATTAATCCTGATTCCTTTAACTTAAAGCCATCTTTTGTTGTTTTGACAACAAAATTAATGACAGACACATATGGCTGCGTTCACTTTAAGAGCTAGTGCACGTATCCTGTGTTCATTATGGCATGCGTTTTATGCTTATTAAAGACAAAACCGACTATATTTAGAGTATAGCCTACTCACAAAGACCGAAATTGACAATTTTGCGTGTTAAAACAATATAATCCGCGAAAAATAGTTACTAGCCAGCTGTTTTTGAGGCGGATTTTCTATGAATGTGCGCATAGAAAATAATCTCAGAGAGCGCGCGAGCACTGATTAGTTTAAAATCGCTTGAATGTTTAAACTGGTAAGACTTAAAAAGACTTCAGTCACGATGCACTGCTGGTGAATATTCCGTCATGTCCCGACCTTACAGTCTATGGTCCCGACTCCAAAACGCGAGTGTGTATTATCGCCGCAGCGCTTGATGCCTGCCTTGCGCAACACATTATGAGAAGAGATAGAAGACGCGCGCGGCACCGCTGAACACTCACGCTGTTTGTGAAATTGCGTCTGGAAGATAGTTGTTAAAAGAATGATTTGATTTTATTATCTGTGTGGATTACGATTGCGGGAATTTCCCGCATTATAAATGGGAGACCTGCGGGAATGATTAGAATTATGCGCAATACCCGCAATCCCGCGCCGAAATTCGAGCCCTGGTTCTGGACAGGAAGGATAACTCTGGGAGTTGGAAGGGGTGTGATCGCGATTCTGCCTTCTCACATCGCGATACAGGATCGTGGACCTGAGTATCGCGATTTCGATTTTATATCGCGTATCGTTACAGCCCTAATAAAAACTAAATGGAAATGTGTTTACAAAATTAAAAACTAACAAGCCCATTAATGAAACTAACTTAACTTTTATAGGAAATTTGAAAATTAAAATAAAAACTAATTTAAAAATGCAAAACTATAATAAACTTGGTCTGACCAGCATCTTTCTAATAATAGTAGAGTTATGAGTTTCAAAAACAGCAATGTTACCCCCCTCGTTGCTGAGAAATATAATGTAGCGATTCAGTATTAAAACTATTAAGTAGGGTTGGGTATATCGTTTAAATTAACGATTCAGATTCTGCTTATCAGCCCACACAAAGTACATGATTATTTTGCTGTATCTACAGCATGTTACTGTATTATTTTAAAGCGATGTGTTTTGTGCAGGTATGCAGTTGCAGCAGTCTATAATGAAGCACTATTACAACCCACTGGATCTCAATTCATATTTTGGAAAGCCTGAACCACCCAAGCTGGAGGCGATCTTCAGGCGGACCAAACCTCGCTTCTTCAAACGCACTAGCTCAGCTGTCTGGCATTCTCCACCACGTTTGGGAAATTTGGGCAATTAATAAGCAAATGTACTTTTTTTTTTTTTTTTTTTCTACTTTTAGTCTGTCGTCTTTTTTATGTTGTTGCCTTTTATACTTTAAGCCCACTTTAATAAAGCCTTTTAAAAATCTATATGTAAGTAGATTAGACTGGGGGGAAAAAAGAGCAGAATGTGTAATTTAGATTACACAAAAGATGGAGTTTGATGACTGGATGGACTGTCTCTGTTTAATTACCTGGTTTGTTTTTAAGTGGGATTACATTATCACCCATGTATTTAAATATAGCGTCACGTGTAATAAATTCGGAAGTGTACACAGGAGCTGCTACAAATGGGATGGTAAAGTAGATGTAGACAATATGGGGGTGGTGTTTTCCCACAAAATTCACTTCACGAAGAGTGTCAGATTACTCTGGACTGTCAATAAAAGGTATAATTTCTAAATGTTTGCGGTGTGTGTTATTTATGGTCGTTTATGATTGATCTGATTTGCATATGATTTGCAATATATGTTGGAGCCATGGTTGATGGGATTTGTTGTTTATGATTTAAATGGTTGGTTATGATTGATGTGATTTGATAAGGCAAACTGGATACTAAGCATCAGTTGCAATTCCTTGCTTTAAAAAACTTTATGGGGAAAAATGTACCTCCATAATTTAAATAAACTCCTTTTTTTATGTTGAAACGTGTTAGTAATATGATGGAGATATGGAAACCTACTGCATAGTAGTAATGAATGGGAACAAAACAATGCATTACTTTTGCTGTTTACTTGAACATTGATAAGGGTATGTTGATAAGCATCTACTAAATGAATAAATATATAAAGTAAACATGATTAAGGTCTGCCGAGAATCCCCAGGACAGTTCTGGTAAATTGTGTCAGAGGAAGAACCAGTACGCATGCGCAGAGGGTGGCAGTTACTCATCTCGTGAGCGCGCACAGCAGTGGAAAGTTTCATCGACATTAACGGCGTCGCGCATCCCAGGGAAACGTTCACCCAGGACAACGCTCTGAAATCAACACAAAGGTACGTTAGCTATTAAAACACGGTTTGTTATTGGTGAAAACAGACCTATTATGTTATTAGTCACTGGTTTATTGGAGCTAGCCGTTTTGCTTTATAATAACAGGTGACGTTGACGGTCATACGCCTAATATAGGTCCGCTATTTAAAGCATTTGTGAATTTACGCGAGACCAGAGGCCTGATTTTGTTTACATTTATTATACATTGGCATATCGACTTAAAATATTTACATATTAGCAGTATATCCAACACATTCATCACCCGTGAACGATTAAATAATATGTTATATAACACTAACAGGAAAATAAAATAAACTGCGTGTTGTTGTTGTTGTTATTGGTGATATGATATTAGCACTAGGTGATACTTTAGTTTGATATATTACGATATATCAAATATGAGTATTTAGATTAATTTTGTTTAGCGCATCCTGGCGTAAAGCCGCGAATCTGTGTTGGAAATGGCCTCTATACAATGAGAGACACACACACCCATAGAGATTCACAGACCGATACACACTAACCGTTGTCATTGCTGTAAATACTTTTGTCGTAAGGCATGTACTAAGATACTCAGATGAGCATGATGGGTTGTTAAACTAGACAATTAAAGTGAAATAATACATTTGTGACGTCATATATTTGTGGAAAAATCTGAGCACATTAGGTGGCAAGTCACGTTTTTTTACTCCAGTGACTATTTGCTATTTGTCAGAATTGTCAAATGTTGCACCCAAGTATAACGTCTTTACGGTTACGTTATTGATCTGAATAATAATATATATATATATATATATATATATATATATATATATACAGTTCATGTTGACCCTATTATTGTTACACTATATTGGGCAAACTCACAAAGGGCAATGGACATTTAAAATGTTAAATCAAAAATATAAAAGGCAACACATTTTTCAATTATTCTATACAAATTCTATAAATTTCTAACATTTTTAAAAACTCGCCCCAGCCTAACATTCATTGTGTGTGTGTGTGTGTGTGTGTGTGTGGTTTTAATGTGTTCATTTGCTTCCCTAAAACTATTATAAAAATCTGATGATGTTGGAGTTTTAGTTTAGAAGCTACACAAATTATCCTATTTTGAGATAATTTTGAAACTGGATGTTTGAAGTCACCATGCTAAAGAAAATCTTAATTGTGTAATTGGGCGTTTGACTTATAGGTAACTTACTGAGATACAGTCCCAGTAGCCATGGGCCTTTCTCAATCTGTGTTCTTGTCTGTACTTGGGTTCTTGTGAAACTTCATATTTTGTGGCCCAAGTAGCCTATTGTCCCAAGACTCCCAACAATACACAAGTTTGAATTTTGGCAAGAACGGTAAAAAATCCCGCAAGTGTTTGCATCGGTTGGTAACTTGTGTGAACTTGACGGCAGAAATATCCCAGCATTCATTTCGGCATTGGAGGAAGGAGAGGCAGGTCAATATATGGAGCTACATTGACACTTTTAAACTCTTAAATCTGAAGTGTCAGGTTCCTAATGTTTATTTCAATGTTAATTAGGAAAGGTTTGTGTAGCTCAGTGGGGATAATATATATTTTTTTATTTTCTTATGATTTAATGTAAATGTAAAGCATAATCATTGTCTGTCACTGTGGGCCATCCAGCTTTCATTTACCTTCTGCAGATTCCAAAGCTTTAAATAGTGTTTAAATGTATATATTATATACATGTAATTATTTCTTGCATGCATATATTTCTTGCTATTTAGTGAGTTTGTATTAGAGCTGCACGATTTGGGGAAAATGACATATTGCGATTATTGAGGTCAATATTGCGATTGAGATATAATAAACAAATGGTATCATGAGTCAACTTGCTTGGTTCTCAAGGAAAATGCACACACAGATTACTGATAATGCTGAAATGTGTATTTCTCAACTCAAACTAGCAACAACAACTAAATGCACAGTGCTTTCAAATTGAAATCATTTTTAAACTAAAATGCATTACTGCAAACTTGTTATTGTCTCAATAGTACAGCTAATTAAATAAATAGAACAATAAATGTACAAATTTGTATGTTCATGAAAATAAGATATTTTGAACATTCTGTCCAAACAAACAGGGACATTTAAGCAGGATTTAACATATGCTGTGTATAAACTCTTTCAAAAAGGAAACTGTATATTAAATGTGTGAGTGGTTCACTCAATCAAACCACTAAAACTGTTGTTGGTCATTTAAAAAAAAAAAAAAAAAAAGCAAGAACTGGTCCTTTCAAATCCTCTTTCGGTAACACTATATTTATATTCATGTATACAGTGTCCTTGTTACATGTTACATGTACTTACCATAGTAATAACAGTAAATGATGCATAATTACATGCAATTAACCCTCAACCAAATCCCAATCTTACCCTATCCCTATGTTTAATGTTCATTAGTCTCCCCAGGTGTTTCTTATTAGCCACGCCCCCTTGTTATCTTATTAAGCTTGTCTGTCTGTGTATTTAAGCCCTGTGTTGCACTATGGTGGTTGTTCCGTTCCCGAGTCTGAGTCTGCGTTTGTATTTGTAAAGTTTTGAGTTTATTTAATAAAAGACTACTGCACTTGGATCCTGCTTCCTCCTCTGCTTTAACCAAAACGTAACAACTTATCACTTGAGAGGTGAACCACTAGAAGGTGCTCTAGACATGGTTTCCTTGATTGCTTTTCCCTGAAGAGAAATGCGTTGTTGAAAACAAAAGTAGGCTAAGTGACGCACGTTCATTGCGTTTTACCATGAAATAAGAGTTCCGTGTCTTACATTAATAATTTATATCTCATCGGCCCGCGACCCAACCGAAATTTATTTTTTATAACTTGGCCCTTCTGAGTCACAGATTATCTGCAGTATCCGCGGGTAAAAATGTTTTCAACAGATATTTCAACAGATTTATTTGTAAGTAGAACAGAACAATTTTTAATTATTTTACTGAACAATCACTTGTTTCATGGAAGAACAAAAACAGGAATATTGGGTTAAATATTACTCATCCCCCAACCCCACTCAATCAAAAATGCACCCCCATCCAAAAAATCACCACAAAGTCCCATTCAAAATGTTAAATGAAAAAAAAAACCTTCTCCCTCCAAAACGTCCCATTCACGTTACAGATCAAGATAACTTATAAAGGTTTTTTAAACTACAAAACAAACTCACTTACACATATTTGAGAATCGGAATGGAAGATAGTTTATGACATGGTAAGCAAGTTTGTTAATATTTAGAAATAAAAGCGCTTAATCTGTCATACAGCGCTATTTTGGCTGTGGTGAATCATGTGCCAAGCATGACGCGTCACCATGGAAACCATGGGGGGGGGGGACATCGCGATGTCGGCTAAACATTGTGATGTCTGTCAGGCATCACGATGGACGAGGCCCAACCCTAGTAAGAATACTAATGCAATGGCATGAACAGATACATAAATAGTAAGGCTAGCTAAACAACTGGAATGATTTTGAATACATATTGCAGGAGGCAGAGAAAAACAGCCACATGAGGTAGCTAGCATCTGCCTTATGTGGTAAATAAAGTTATGCTAGCTTATTTAGCATCTAACTTATCAGCATTGCTACTAGATTAATACATTTGTATGTGATATTTGCAATTTAAACATTTAATAAATATATTTCCCCATAATATCATCAAAACTTACTTCACTTTGTTTAGTCCACAGGCTCAAATGTGTGCCTTCAATAGTCTTGTGCTTTGGGCTTCTGTACATGTGATGGAGGCATGCACAGTGCCAGTAGGGGGTGTGGTCTCAATAGCCATGCAGTAAGCAGTGTTCCATGTGCATGTGATTGAGCAATGGCATGGATATTCAAGTGTATTTGAATGGCATCTGTTTGTTTTAGTCAAGATTATGCTAAAATATACTTTCCCCAACTATATTTAAGTTCGCTATGAAGAGCCAACCCTCAACTTTGAAAATTCCCACTTTATACCCATAAATTCCTGTTAATTCCCATTAATTCCCATGGAAAGTTGCCATCTTTAAAAATTCCCAGAATTTTGCAACCCTACTGATGGCCCAAAGCACTGGAACCTAGTCCACTAATTGACCCTTTGCAGGGAGTTTGATTGACAGGCGATCTGACCAACCATAATCCGCCATAATTCTTATGTTCATTCATGTTAATTTGATGCTACAAATTAACTAGAAGGAAGAAATGATCGGTTCACGACTAGCTTTAACTGAGGCTCTACAGCGATCTGTCAGACACATTAAAGAGCCACAAAACTGTATTTATTGTTTAAATTTCCGCAGGCAGCGGCTTTTCAGTTCAAACTCTTCATCGACAAAGTGCACAGTTAGGCTAATAGGGTTTTTAAGTGTCCGTAGTGGTTGAAAAAAACGTCAACGTAGCCATTTCCAGTTGAACCTCGCCACGCATTTGTTGTTAAGCTTATGGATTCTAACTTGAGAGAAATAGTTTTGCGATGGGAAGCTGCCTGTTACCTCTTGTCCAGTGTGTGGATCATTTTCTGAAATCCCCCTTTGCTAACAGTGTATATGGGCATCGTGTCTCCTGCCAAATAGTCCGTTATGGAGTCAGTGATTTCTTTTCAAGACAAGACAAGCCTTTTCATATGGTGCGACACTCGCAAACTCACACATGCTTTATGTTCGGCTTACAGGTTGTTCTTTGTTTTGTTTAGCTGTCTCTTTACTAATCTGGGCTTTCACCGTCATGCATTCATCAAACTTTTCTCTGTGTTGTTTCAGGTGCTGATATAAATTTGTCATGATGTAGCAACTTTAATTTTACAAATCCTGCACAATATTTCTCTCTGCTCTGTGTTGGGTATCTTATAGCCAAAATATCGCCATATAACAGAGGTAGCACATGCTTTTATTTATTTCATAAAATTGCAGCATTTTGCATCATATAATCGCACCGGCTTGACATTGCGATTGCGATATGATTAATCATGCAGCACTAGTGTGTATACTTATTACGAACTAGCCAATACTCTTTACAAGTATGACGCAGTTTGTTATCGCTAGTTCATAGATACACTCATTTGAAATTCCATTTGAAAGCAAAAGAAAAACTTTACCCAATCGTCACTATAGCATTTTTGTCATGAGTAAAGATTGGTCATAAGCATTGTTGTTTGATCAATGAAGGCCTTGTTTCTGTTCACATTTTCTCTCCTGAATTTCTGTTATTGACTCTGTATCAAGTCCAACTTGAATATTAATAATTACATTATCAGACTATTAAGCATAACCAGGCATGTATGTAAATGTGACATACCAAAATTGACAACTTGATCTCTAAATCTTTTCATTGAACCTCTCTTTCTTTTTTCCACAGACATGGGTCGCCTAACAGTACTGTTTCTCTGCCTGGCTCTTGTGGTGTCCGTTTTGGCCAAACGAGGTGGGGGCGGTAAAGGCGGATTTAGCTTGGGCAAAATTGGCTCAAACAAAGGTGGAAGCAGCACAGGAAGCAAAGGTGGCAGCAGCAAAGGTGGCAGCAGCAGCAGCAGTAGCAATAAAGGGACACACTCGGCCCCTGGAAACTATCCTCGCCAACCTCAAGTACCAAACCAGAATCCACCCCCCTATCCCGGTACTGGAGGCGGGTACCCTAGCCAGGGCAGATATCCAGCAGCTGGCTCTAATCCAGGTCAAGGAAACCCTGCCCAAGGTAGATACCCAGCCCAAGGTGGAAACCCTGCCCAAGGTGGCTACCCAGCCCAAGGTGGCTACCCAGCCCAAGGTGGCTACCCAGCGCAAGGTGGTTACCCAGCCCAAGGTAGAAATCCTGCCCAAGGTGGCTACCCAGCGCAAGGTGGTTATCCAGCCCAAGGTGGCTACCCAGCCCAAGGTGGCTACCCAGCCCAAGGTGGTTACCCAGCCCAAGGTAGAAATCCTGCCCAAGGTGGCTACCCAGCCCAAGGTGGTTATCCAGCACAGGGTGGCTACCCAGGGGGAGCAGGTTCCAACAGGTATCCTGGACAAGCCGGAGGAAACCCCTATCCAGCTGGAGGCTCTTATCCAGGTTATCCAGTCCGAGGAGGTTCCAGCCCTAACCAGTTTGGTGGAGGTGTTGCAGGTGCAGGGGCAGGGGCAGGTGGATATCCAGGAGCGGCACAGTATCCTTACTGGAACCCCAACAACAAAATCATGAGCCCAGGCTATGGGGGCAATTACGGTGGCTATGGGCAAGGGGGCAGATCACCTTTTGCCCAGTCAGTGCAGGGCATGGGAATGGCCCCTAATAGCAATTCAAGGGGATTTGGCAAGCAGGCGATTATGGCTGCTGGGGTAGGGGCGGTGGCCGGTATGGCTCTGGGATATGGCCTCGGAAGTTTCCCTCGTCCCCGCTTCAATTTCCACAATCCACAGGAGGAATACTACTACAATAACTACATGTACAAACGTTATGGCCAAACTCCCCCCGAAAGTAACGTGAATGGAAACCCTAACTCCCAAGGCGGCAAGCCAGGCGAGGCAGGATCTAGCTCTACGGGACAAGGAAATGGTAACCCTTATGACATCTTCCAGAATCCTCCACCAGAGTCCTATGATAAGTACATGGACAAATGTATTAAAAGGACTGACTTGCTTCGGGAGAAATCGGAAGAAAGACCAAGGAGATCCATTGACCTCTTTGAGACTCAAGCAGCAGAAGTAGGAGATGATCCTAACGGCGCTCAAGAAAATGCCACAAGCAACAACAGTACTGCTGAAAGAGCCAGTACAGATCCCCCTTCATTTATAGTCTCAAACCCAGCCGAAATATCCAGTCAACCTCAAAAGCAGATCCAGGAAGGAGAAGCAGAAGCCAGTGATGATGACGGTGACACTGTTAGCATTATGGAGATTGGCTATCCTGTACTAATTGAGCAAATGAAAGCACGACGATGTGTCGAGCTGTACATGGTCTATGCGGAACAGCATGCAGAAAAACAGGTGCAGGATCGCAGTGGCGTGGATGCTAAAGCCAACGCCAATAGTGGTGATTTACCTGGACCCCTTGGCCATGGAGTCATGCTACTCTTTACTAGCATTCTGTCTCTTATCTTCAGTTGCCTGTTACACTGACATTCTAGAAAAAGGATAAACCCCATAAAGCCATTGAGTCAGACTGAGAAATGGACCGCTCACACCTATTACATATAATTTGAGGAATTTGTCTTGGGTGTTGTAGAGACTTAAGACAAAGTATTCTCAAAGGACTACTTGAAGATTCGACAGAAAGTACTTTTAACTTCTCACAAAGACTCCTCAATAGTTACTCCACTAAATTGCAACATGAGCCACCTAACAATTTGACATGAGCCTACATTTTATAGTAGTTTCCAAAAGTTTAAAACATTGTCAGTTTTTCTACACCATTCACCTTCCATCACTGCCTCCTTCTCGCATGTGGTTTGATGAACACTAACTTTTCTTCCAAGACAGCATACTGCATGAACACTTTATTATCTCCAGTTTAAACGTTGCGCACGGCATTGGCATTTGAGTCATTGTTTTCTTCTAGTAACAGCTATTACAACTAACCATCATTATGTTTACGACATGAAATGGTGGCTTCCAGTTCTGTCCTTATGATGGCACTTCTACTTGCGTAGTTGAAATTTAAATTTGTTGTATTTGTTGTTGTTTTTTTGATTGTTTAGACTGTTAACTTACGGATTAACATTCTACTGACATACTTATTTATTTTAAATTAATATTATGAACATTTAAATGTCTTTTCAAAGTCCTCCACTGTTGGTTTTGTTATTTTTACTTCTCCGGGGCCGTACATACAGAGCATTATTTTGCGTTCTACTCAATTGTTTTTCTATATAAACATGCACCACACAAACCAATTCTTTGACCAATTAATCTTTTGCAGTAAAAATACTGTTTTTATATTGCCGTATCAAGCTGAAAGACATTAAGCATTTAAACAGTTTGTGTGAATGGCTCCTTAGTGAATGTTTATGTAATCATAAATGTTTGGTTTCAACTAGATATGTACGATAACACTCCTGCGTGTCAGTTTAATTCATATCAGATGTACTATGAAACACTCATGCAGCTCATCCACTGCTCACTGAGATAAAACAGTATTTTATATAAAGTCGGATTTTTATCAGTAGCTTGGTGCTGTGGTTTCTCTGAACATTACTGCTGGATATTCAATTAGATTATCAACCCAGCTTGGCACTTGCTAAATAATTTATATAGACCAGGGGTTCTCAACCATGTTCTTGGACCCCCCACACACACAACGCACACACATTTTGAATCTCTCCTTTGTCTGACACCTATTTCAGATCTTGAAGTCCACACAAATGAGCTGATGACCTGCATTGGGTGTGTTTGATTAAGGAGGCAACGCAAAATGTGCAGTGTTTGGGTGGCTGGGTACCCCTGATTTAGAGGGACTGTGGCAACCACTGGATAATCAGCAGAAGGCAATGCTTAATGCCTTATTGTTACTCAGCTGCATATGTAGTTATGCTTTTGAGATGTTTTGAATGTTGAAAGTGTGTATAATGTTACCGTCACTGGAATTAAAATGATTAAATGCACCTTAGTTGCGTGTCTGCCTATTTTTTATTTGATATTTTTAGAAAAAGTCATCTAATAGGATCTAATAACCCTCTTCTTTGAAAACCCTGAACAAAACTATGCCAAGTAAAATAAAAAATAACCCACTTAGAACGAGGCTAAACATAGTTTTAACATTTAATTGGGCCTATAGTGTTTGTTCTATGTCAGTTAATGATAATGTTTTGTTTACAGGCATCACTTGATGTCAAATGTAGAATCTAGTCCCTGAAGCAAAACCCGTTGAGAACAAAATGTCTATTATGGTTTCAGGTAAGCTGAAAATGTTCACCTGTGTTCAGTGTGTTGTGAAAGTTGGTCTTGGAGGAGTCCTTTTGCTGTTGTTTTGTTATTTGTTCAAGTGTACCTGATTTTCTCAAGTTGACATATGCATCCATTCATAAAGAGACTGGCTAGCTAATTAAAAGCTTAAATGTACCCAAGGTGGAAAACCATAAGCCCTGTGTGATTATAAGACTATTAGGAGTGACAAAATCCAAATACAGGGCTAATTGTGACATGCAAAGGCGTACCTATCAGAACCATTTATCTTCACCTGTGTTTTTTAGAATACAAGTTAACCCTTGGGAAGAAGTCTTTAGCCCAACAGAGGATCACAGGAGATAAAAATCCCCTGTTTGGAGATCATTACTGTGGTTAATCGGGCAGATTCACACATACACAAATATAGATCACAATATGTTTTTGTTAATGATGCAATTTGAAAGCAGACAAACAATTTAGGAAGATCTTGACAGGCTTTTCCTTCTGCAAGAAGCCATTTGAGATGATCGCTCTGAAGGGGTCAAAGTGCATTTTGAGTTTTTATGTAGTGTGCCGAACTGGATATAGATGATTACTGCAACATGCCGTCTCAGCAAAGAAGGTATTAGCAATGCATATAATACAAAACCACATGCCAAAAAGAGGACACTGGCAGTGAAAGAAAACTAAAGACTCAAAGATTCTCACACCTAACAAGAGATTGTGTGTATATATACCATAGACTGTAAAAAATTATATATACGCACATTTTTCCAACTCAACTGAAAATGATCATGTGAAATCAATGTAATGTAAAGGTCATAATATCCCAGATAAAGTATTCATGTTGTAGTCTTGATCTTGAGGTCCTCGTCTTGTGATCTCATAAAACTGCATAAAAGGATGACAACGTAATTTCCACAGCTGGAGTTCTACTGGGCCACTGCGCTGCCATAATAATCAACTTGAATCATCCATCCATTTTTTAAACCGCTGGTCCAATGTGGCTACATCGCAATATCATACATGTATAATTCCTTTTTAATTGATTATTAAATTGTTTAATTAAAGTTTGTACATGCTAGTTTCCCTGAAAGAGCTCAAGATAAATCTTTTCATCTTACTTAAGCTGCCAGTTTGCAAAGTTTTAAATGATTATTAAAAAGCAAGCACAAACTATGCAAAAGCGACAGCAGTTTCGGCACAGTCAGTGTCTGAATTCACTGTCGTTTTCATTCCCTTCTTCAAGTGGACTATATTAGTGGAGTAATGTAGGGAATAGTGAATGAGGGTATAGGTGGCAATTTCAAACACAGCCCAAAGTCTATTAACGAGCTGATGAGTTGAATCAGGTGTGCTTCCAGTTTCAAGGTAGGAAAACACTAGATAGCTGTGTCCTGATTCAGAAGCTGCATCCTTCGAAGGACAGTCTGGCCTTTGGAGGATTGTTCTTGTCGCCTAGAAACTGTGACAGCTGCTGTTGACGACCAGCAGTCAAGTTTTTTTACTTGACTTTTTGAAAGTTATATTCAATTGTCTGAATAAAAAGAAGGTTTACAATCTGTCTAAATATGTTCACCGTGGTACATTGCTGTACATACTAAAGAGTCTAAACTATATAAAATCACATATCTAGCTCCTCTGTTTCCACTGGAACTACCTGGAACAATTTGTCACAGGAATATTTGTCACAGGAGTCACCATTATAGTGATTAGTGTTTATTTTAGTTGGGCTCTTGACTCTTAAATAAATAACTCAATTATGGTGTTTCTGATGGTGTTGGGTTGTGTTTTAACATAATCGTTATTTCACAATCTTTGAACTGAGTCACTGAATTCATATAAAGCCCAATTTCTGAATTAGGTTTACTTTATTAATTATAGCAGCACTGTCCTTGTACAACATAATGTTTTTAACTTATACAACGTAATCCAAATAATTTCTTAAAAGTTTCTCTTATACAAAAAAAAAGTTTTTTTTTTTTTGACACAGACATCAAGAATCAGCCTGTGAATCTCAACAATGACGACAATTATAAAGCATGTTGCAGTGCATTCTGGGTGCCACCAATCAAAACTCATTCATGGCTCCCATCATGCATTGCTGCAGGAATAAATAATGAGCTTATGTTCAGAGGTGATCTGTTCGTCACCATTGCTGAGATTCATACGCTAATTCTTGATGTCTGTGTGTGCCTACATAAAATACTTTTTGGAAGTTTTTTTATTTTTTTTATTGATTTGATCATTTGGATTTCATTGAAAAGGATAAAAACTGTATGCTCTACAATGACAGTCCTGCTATAATCCATAAGGTAAACTTAACTCAGAAATTATGCTCTCAATGAGTTCAGTGATTCAGGTCAAATAACTATTATGTTAAAACACAACCAACACCATCAGATCACCTTTTCTATTTGTTCATCTGGCTGTTATAACTCAGGTACAGTAATCAAACAAAATCTAAAGTAAATGATTTAAGGGTCAAGAGCCCAACCAAAACAAACACCGATCACCATAATGGTGACTTAAAAATAAGTTTTTCTCCTTCAGTGATTCTGCTTGTTAACATCAGGTGTCTTCAATAATGCTCAATCATCACTCAATTATTCACTAAATTATCTCATTAACTTTATCACTGCTTCAGTGTTCATTTAACACTTTGCTGAGAGTTTATATAATCCACACTCTCAGTGTTAATTTAACACTCTCAGAATACTTTTCAGTTCCCGCTGGATTTCGTCCTCCGCATAAACTTAAGCCAGCATGAACCTCGTCGTCGGTCCATCGGTTCTATTTTTAAAACTCTATTTTTGATTTGAATTGCAAACAACTCTTACTGCCCGCATCGCAACAGACAACCAAAAAAATGTTGATTGAAATGAAATGCAGCATGGAGTCAACCAATCAAAATGCTGCATGAACTCACCGTTTCTGTAAGAACACATTTGATCCGCTTTAAAACTTTTTTTTTATTACATTTGTATCATTAGATATTAGAGTAATTTAAAACCCAATACTTACATTTAAAAGTGTAATCCAGCAATTTCTCTAAAAAAATCCTGTCATCACCGGCACGCAATGGATTCTGGGGAAGGCAAGGCTGCGAAGGATCCATCTGTTTCCTTTATTACCCAAGAAACGAAGGACGCATTTTGAGGCCGTATTTGAAAGAGCCTTCGTATTGGGACAGCATTCGTCATGCCACTGTGATGCAGTCGGCCTTTGACTTCAATTCCATCCCTTTTCCAACGTACCTACGTATTAATCCTTAGCACTTTGATTAGCTGGTAGCTGTTGTTTGACTACCCCATGTTCTAGAGTGATTAGTAATAGCATTTAGGTTCAGATGATTGGCTGAAAACGAAACAGCAGAACTGAGCAAAGATGGTGTACATTTTGCATACTTCAAATTGCATACTTAAATGCATAAAGTTGATAAAGTCGTTGCAAAATGTAAACTGCTACCAACATTAGGGTTTTTATTGCTGCGGGACATTACCTAAACACACTGTATGAATGTTGCATATGAATAAACATTTTGACGCATCTATGCAAGGCCATCGGATCCCTTTCAGAGAGAATTGAAAGTTTTAGATTTGAGAAAAACACCAGTGCAGTTTAAATGCATTTCATTCCGCATGCTACAAGAAGTTCTTATCATCGGATTCTATGCTCCAATTAACATTTTAAAGTAAAACCTTATTAACATGTTCCATGTTGTTTTGATGATCATTTGTCCCAGGAGAGACCTAATGTTCGAGACCTTCGTTCTTGCGCGCGTTTTTAAAAGCGTGCACTCGTGTGCGCCCTTTGTGCATTCAACTACATGTCAGCATTGCAAGCAATGGCTCTATTCTTTCTCTTATAGCTGTATTAAAAAAATACTCTCACTAATGAATATTTCTCAGGGCAATGCGGGTCTTCTTGGCACCGTGCTGCCTCTTAGTAGTTTCGAGAACGTGCTTTTGTTTCTTTTCAATGTAATTCTCGCCACCGCCATCATTTTCCTCAACGTGTCCGTGTTTCTCTCCATCATGATGAACAGATCCCTGCGCAGCGAGAACCGCTTCATGTACATGCTCAGCACGAGTCTCAGTGACATCTGCTCGGCGTCTCCTATTATTATGCTGGAGTTCTGGATGTACGAGATTATTTTGAATCCCCGACACGCACTTTCTATATCGTTCCCACTTTCCTGGGTCTGTCCTATAGGGATCTCCCAGTCACGTGACCCCTAGCCGCGTATCAGCCATTTTGACGGAATACATCCGTCGGCTA